CCCTGGGACGGCGAGCATGCGACTGGGTACGGGCACGCCCGCTGCCCCGTGCCCCACGGACACCGGGCTAGGTAGCACAGACCTTGCCCTCCGACGGAGACCCGGGCGAACCCGGGTCAGGGACCTTGGGCCATCTGCGTGCCGCCGCCCCGGGACGATCTTGCTTCAGTCGATGGGAGCTGACCCTCCACCTCCGCCTGTCAGCTCAGGCCAGGAGGGTAGGGACCTGGGCGGAGCCCCGGGTGGAGACCTGAGAGAGGTGACATCATCTAGAAGATACAATCCAGCGTTGCCCTCGTGTGTCCACCCTGGCACGTGAGACCGCTGGCAGAGAGGGCGTTCGCCTGTGTGAGGGGACACCAAGGACAAGGAGAGCATAGATCCCAGGCATGGGGCCCACAGCCTGGTATGTGGGACGGAGGCGGGCTCCTTCAGCTGCCTCAGCCCTAGGCTGCAGTGCGGGCCCTCCCGGAGATACCTGCACACTGTGCGCCACGGGCTATGTGCTGGCAACCCAATGGTCCAGGAAGTCAGGGGCAGGAGCTGAGATGTGCAAACATTTAGCCAGCATCTGAGCTGGGCCCCACCCTGATTTGAGGACAGGAGCTGGGCAGCACTCCCTTGGTGCACTTTCCTCCCAGGATTTGTGTCTCTGGGGGGTACACAGTGCATTTACCTGGAGGATCCCTCCTCCCAATATTTGACCAGGGACCAGATTTCATAGATCTCCAGCTCTGGGGGAGGGATCCAGAGTTGGATGTGACCCTGGCTGCAATTGATAACCTCCCTTCCTCCTCCCCAGGGAGCCCCGTGGAGGCGCCCTCCCAAGGCACCACTGCCCATGCTGACCACCCAGCCCTCCGGCTGCCGATGTCATGAGTAACACCACAGTGCCCAATGCCCCCCAGGCCAACAGCGACTCCATGGTGGGCTATGTGTTGGGGCCCTTCTTCCTCATCACCCTGGTCGGGGTGGTGGTGGCTGTGGTAAGGAGCCCCCACATCCACACATAGACACCCACACCTTTGCTGAGACAGGGGCAGGGTGGGCTGGCCCAGTCTGCACCCAGAATCTCAGCTGGCCTCGAAGGGCCCAGGGTGTGGAGGTGGGTCCCCTCTCACTGACGGGCCTTTCTGGGTTCAGCAGCCTCCACAGCCCTGTGTCTCTGTTACAGGTAATGTATGTGCAGAAGAAAAAGCGGTGAGTGTCCCTGTCCCCACCAATTTTGCTTAAACTTCTCACAGGCTCTGAGTTCTCTGTGTACGTGTAAGACGCTCCTCGGTTGTCCTGATACAAGCCTGACATTTGTTTTCCCGGCCCCAGCCTCAGTTGACTGGGGAGATCCCCTTTGTAGGATTGGGCTTGTATTCTTGGAGCCTCAAGGTGTCCCAGGAGGCACTCACTGGAAGTGCCCCTGGCTGGAGGAGGGGAATAATGGGGGCCAGGTGCCTGATGATGGCGAGGGGGCACCCTGGGCTGAGCCCCGCCCTACTCCCCAGGGTGGACCGGCTGCGCCATCACCTGCTCCCCATGTACAGCTATGACCCCGCCGAGGAGCTGCACGAGGCTGAGCAGGAGTTATTATCAGATGTGGGAGACCCCAAGGTGAGCAGTCTTGGGGGGCGTGGGGGAATCAGGCGGGGGGGGGGGGTCAGCCATTTCTCTCCCTCACTCTCCCTCACTGAAACCAGAGCCTGAGCCGGGCCTCAGTCCTCCCCACTCGGGCTGTGACTCCAAGTGCTGTGGCCTCCCTGGAGCCAGTGCCCAGCCTCTGGTGTGGCCTCCTCTCCCACAGGTGGTCCATGGCTGGCAGAGCGGCTACCAGCACAAGCGGATGCCCTTACTGGACATCAAGACGTGACCTGGCCCCCTTGGGCAACCTTCAGAGCCGTGGGCCCTGCAGTGTCTAGGGACCCTGGGGTCTGCTTCCTCTGCCCACTGATACCTCCCCAGCCGGATATGGGGTCTCTACCCCTCCCTGCCCTCCTTGGCAGCACCTACTTCCCAACCTGCATAGCATCCAGCCCCCATCACCGCACGCCCCTCGGCCTGTCTCCGGAGGGTGGGGGCGGGGGCAGGAGTTTCCTTCTGGGGTGGGAGGGGAGCTGGGAGACAGCTTTGCTTTCTCTAGCCCTCTGGGCTGTGGCTTGGGCATAAATCCCCAGGAGGGCTTTGGAGTTGTTTCCATGGTGACGGGGCCGGATGTATAGTACTCGGTTATATATATTTTGTAAATAAAATGTTTTATGGCTAGGGGTGTGGTTGACTTCATCAAGAGGGGCTTAAGTTACCTTCCCGAGCTGACCCCCATTCTTCTTCCTATCCTGACCCAGCCTGAAGTGCCATCCCCCTACCCACTGGGCCCCTGGTTCCTACCGACCTACCTACCACAGTCCCTGGGGAAACATCACCAAGACTCCAGTCCAGAAAAGGATATTTTTTTTATTCAAGTAACTGCAAATAGGAAACCAGAGGGGAAGCCCCAGGCTGGGACACATAATGGCTACCCCCTCCCCAACAGAACAAGGGGAGAAGGTGGCCCCTACACCCTTTGTGATCAACTCGGGCCCCCCTCCTCACTCTGCTGCAGCATCCTAGGGGCAGAGCCCCACCTTCCCTGGGACTGGGGGAACCCAGCCTGCCACACCCCAGCCCCCCATTCCCCAGAAGAGTATCTTGGGGGAGGGGAACGGGCGGAACAGGAGGCAATGAGGATGAACATTTGGCGCTGGTAGCAGCAGCAATGACAGATGTCAAAGAATGGAACATGGAACAAAAAACAACACAACTGTCCAGAGGTAGTTTGTGAACAGAGGAAAGATGGAACCAGAACCTTGGGGGGTGGGGAGGAACGGGAGGGTGGGGGGCGGGGCTTGCTCCTGGGTATTAGGGCCCCTTCTGACAGGGAACAGCTGGGTGCTGGAAGCAG